CATGGCCAATCAAATGTACAGAATGCATCACTCACTCGGGCTCAGTCAGGGTATAAAATGTGGCGGTGCAGAAAATGTCATGGTCTCGGGAGCTGTATACATCTCAGCCTGATTTAACCAGGAGTGAGTGGCAAGCCTATCGGTTAAAATGGGGAGCAAAGGCTGACTTAAAATGCAGCTGCCTGCCGTTTGTGTCTGGGATGCCAAGCATTTGAACCAGAACTCGATAATGTGATGGTTAAAACGTGGAGACTGATGGCATTATCGAAAATAAAATAAAACGACCGCCACGGTACGCGGAAGTTTTGGCTCATACGGAATGTTGCTCGAAAAAAACTGAGCAACTGCTCGACAATTTTCGTGTTTTCCACTCCTTTATGAATACATTGAATAGTCTCGAGTCGCTCAAGAACATCAATGCAGTTCGAAATAATCGTTCGGCTGCTGTCTTGTCCGATCTTCACTTAGACTGGGTGAAGTGTACGGGATGAGATTTTTATCCGCATTTGATTTCAGTACACGGGGCTATCTCGATTTCGGCATAGTGCAGGCGCGCCGATTACGCACGCATTCAGCACACGCCGCCGCGGAGCGCACTCCCTGTCCCCGGCCAGAGCGGCTTGGAGGAAGACCTCCGGGCACCTCCGCGTGGGGAAGTGGGACGTTATGGCCGCTATAGAAGACGACCAGCGCTGCAGCGTGTGCCGGAGCGTATGAAACAGGTCATTATGTCGACATCATGCCGACTTCATTAGGAGTTACGGATATTGGAAACACGGGTTAATGGGGCCGTGCAAATCGAACAGTTGGCGTACATCACTAAGTCTGCTGCCAAGGTCCAGGACGGGCGACGGTCTTGGTGAGGACGGGTGGTGGCTCTGCGGCCCGGAAGACTGCTGGAGGCGGTGTCCTGACCCGTGCTCTGGACCTTTCGCACAAATTACAGCTGACCGAACTCCACTGAGTCGACCAAGTAAAGGCTAACCGCGAGAGCGCGGCCGAACTGCGCAACTTGGCCGGCTGCAATTATGCTTGGATCCGTGCTGACACCCTGACAACTTCACCGCCTCGGGCTGTCGAGGTCACGTGTCATGGGATCGCACCCGGCTCGGCTCTGATTGGGCCTGACCCGTGCCTGGCCCAGCTCAGTGGTCTGCACTTGCCCAGTCGTTCCGGCGGCCCGACTCGTGACAGAGTCCCGTCCGGACACGGTTTGTCAGCGGGTCCTCACGGCCGTCGACGTCTCCTGGTGGTGAGCGCCACGGCTCCCTGCAGCCAGCGCGCACTCACTTGGGTCGAATGGATGACTTATGCGGCGCGCGCTCTTCTGAACCAGAACTCAGTGGGCGTGTGGTGCCCCGGCCGATTACAAGCTGGCGGTGAAAGGACAGTCAGGCGCGGAACACCTCGCTGGTAATCACAGGCATGTGGCCCTCAACGACCGGTTGTTGGTCGGCGGACTGGTGTCATGACGTCGGGACGAGCTGCGGACCAGCGTCGTGACGTCGAGGCGAGCCGCGGACCAGCGTCATGACGTCGAGGCGAGCTGCGGACCAGCGTCATGACGTCGAGGCGAGCTGCGGGCCAGCGTCATGACGTCGAGGCAAGCTACGGACCAGCGTCGTGACGTCGAGGCGAGCCGCGGACCAGCGTCATGACGTCGAGGCGAGCTGCGGGCCAGCGTCATGACGTCGAGGCAAGCTACGGGCCAGCGTCATGACGTCGAGACGAGCTGCGGACCAGCGTCATGACGTCGAGGCGGGTTGTGGACTAGCGTCATGACGTCGAGGCGGGTTGCGGACCAGCGTCATGATGTCGAGGCGAGCTGCGGACCAGCGTCATGACGTCGAGGCGAGCTGCCTGGCTCAAGGGATTCACATGTATCGGACCGAAGAGGAACGAACTAGAGCCTCGCTGCTATTCACACCATGAACAGGTCTGTGGCATCGACGGACGGATCAGTACGATGACAGATCAGATCTGATCCCGCCGGTATCGGCAATTTGTGGAGGCCTGTCATGCACAGATTAGGTAATTTTCACGCCATGTATCTACGCATTTTTCAAAATAGCCCAGATAGTCTGGCTAAGGTTGAGTTTCTGAAGATGGACGCTGTTTCCATGACTGAAAGGAGGCAGCTTAGTGACTGTTATAAACCTCTGAATACACTCAATACATGGCACAGCGAACCGCATGGCATGCACCCACTTAGCTAGGACAAAGTGTATATCCGTTACTGTGAATACCGTTGTAAAATGGTGTCCCTCGTTAAAACCGCGACGTAATGCCCCCACGTATTAAGTAACCGATGACTATACACTTAGAGCCGGTAACGCCTGCGCTTGGTACAGATTCTTGTTATACTTCGAGAATGGGTACGGCACGAATAAGAATTTTAGGAAATATTGAAGAGCTGCATCAACAAAATACCACATGCAGCGACTGGTTGTCCTTTTAGCCACAGCTGGCTTCCGCCCAATACCACCAATTGATTGACGTTGTGCTCCCACACCTTTGATGCGAGCGACTTTGCGGCGGGTGTGACGTCAGCGTGCGGGCCTGGCGCGCCACATCCGCCGCGGACGCGCCACACGACCGCCCGTCGTGCCGCTGGCGTGCATCCATCAGGTATGCTGTCATCCTGCGGTAAGCCGAGCAGCCAGCCGCCGCGTGCCACGCACTGGCTCGGCCCTGAGCTGCATCGGACTCGGCCGACGCCGACAGCGCTCCGACAACTGATCGCCGCGCACTCAGGCAGCGATGCGCTGAGTTGCAGACGATGGAGGTGGCGCGGTCCGTGCAGCCGAGCCGGCCCGATGCTGGAGATAAGGTCGGCCGAGTCAGCGGCGTCCGCCGGCGCCTTTGTCCGGCGGGACACGGGGCGGGGCGCGACCCTCGAGCTCGGCACGGGTCAGACGCGAGGGCAGACAGACAGGGGGAGGGGGACACCGGCGAACGCGACCCTCAGGCCCAGCGCGGGTCAGCCGCGGGAGCAGGTCGGCGGGGGGGAGGGGGACACCGGGCGGGCGCGACCCTCCAGCTCGACACGGGTCAACTGCGAGAGCAGACCGGCGGGGTGGGGATACCGGGCGCGCACGACCCACGAGCCGGCCGCGAGAGCAGACCGGCGGTGACGGCCTCTGAGTGCTGAGTGCGCGGGACCAACACGGACCGAGTGGAGAGACGGATCCTCTGGGATGTTCACCTGCATAGCATTTCAGTCTCGCCGACTTCTGCTTGGTTTCCATGATTTGCCCTTTTGATGCGTTGTTAGAAGGGAGAGAGATCTGAATTCGGTCGGTTGTGTTGGTGCCACCAATAGACTAGAACGGTTCTAGTACTCTGAATGCAAAGGTCACCTTTTGACCAATGGCTGCAGATCCCGAAATAGCAAAGGTAAATTAAAACAAGGAAACAGGCCAGCTTTAGGGCCTATGATGATGAGTCGTTAGCAGCAGCGAGGTTGCAGACCGCGGTTGTCTTGAACATCAACAAACTGGATAACCGGGTAACTTCAGTGGATCGGTTGTGGCTACCACGCTGATTTATGTTTTTGCAACTAATATATATATATATATATATATATATATATATATATAACTGTGTGCATGTGTGTATTGATAAGCTATAGCCGATTCGGCGTTAGCTGTCGCATTAGTGGTGGTTTTCGTCGGCATCGTTGCACTATCCTCACAATGCATCATACCCCAATCGGTTAAAAAAGGATTGCGAAATTTGTCAAGCGTGAAAAGGCTGCTTAAAGAAGCCACAGCCGCCCGAGATCTCGGCGAATCTCCCAGTGACGCAAGACCGTTACCACGCGACGAATTGCAGTCAGGCACGTCCAGTCCACGCGGCCAGTCACGCGCACACGGGAACAAACCATGGGTCAGATGGGATTCGGGCCTTATTGAGGACTTAATGGTGTAATAGAATGTGCTGTCTACAAATTGCTGAGGTGCCTGGCTCATGAGTGAGCCACCAGTCGTCAGCCAATTGGCGGCCAATGTTGCATTTTGTTGAAGCCACTCCCCTGTCCCACACGTTCTGGTTTATGCCAAAGGTCGAACCAACTTTCAGCAGTGAAAACGCTGTCCACACAGTTGCACGCGTCAAGTCCACTTCAGTTCAGTATGAGCAAAAGTTTCGGAAGCTGCTGCGTTCTCGTCATTAAGACATGATGTATATTATATTCATATATACAATGGATATTGTATATTATATGATATCCGCCGAAGATAGAGGGGGATGCAAATCGACGCAGTTTCATAAAGGTCGTTAGCGAAAATGACCATTTCTGGCCATGAGGTATACTGGGGCCCAAGTCCCACCATTTGTGAATGATCCTGCGATTTGATCTGCATAAACATCTGTGTTCCAAAAATGTATCTGAACAGCAAACATTGCGATTCAGTGATAACACGAATTTGTGTCGGTTCGTAAAATCGTGTCGATTTGTAACCTTATACTTTCATGCCAACTACATGATGTAACCAACCACGACAGTTGTCACCACATGCATGCCACCCTATACAAGACATCAAAATGGTTCTGGATTTCTCTTTTATCCGCAGGTGACCGTTGGTTTTCCTTGTTCAGCCTCCACAAATTTCGACTCTGTCAAGCATGGCGGGTGTAGCAGCGGTTCCATTAACTTTCGTTCAAAGCAGCGAGTTTTAATATTTTGTCACTGAAAGTTTTCTCAACCTCGCCAGATAAACTTATCTTGATCTTCGTCCTTGGTGCTTTTCTCAAATACTGAAGGGCACGAGACAAATATAGAGGGCGGCGAAGGAAAAGGGGGGGGGGGGGGGATCCCTCCAACGTAATAGAAGGCTGCACCCAAGCTCACAAGTTTCGACCCAGCTGAACATCCCTTGATATACATCACCGGTGACGCACCGTCCGCCTCGGCGGCAGTTCATTGGTCGTCGGCGGGTCTGACGTCAGGGGCACCTCTTCGCGGCTGGCGCCGGCAGTGCGGCGGCGGTGCTCGTGGTTGGCGCGTGTAGTGCGGTCGTCGGTGCCGTGATAATGAAAGCCGCAACTTGTGTGACTGTTCTGTTGACTGGCGTGCAAACGGCCATGTTCTGACGCGAAATCTGGGGCGAGGACAAGGACCGTCGAGATCAGCAAAGATGAAGAACGTGTGGATACGGGGGTGAAGCATACAGGACAACACCAGGTATAGCAAGACTTTTAATCTTATCGTCATTAAGATAATAACTAGTAATCGTACTTCAGACGGAACAAAGAGAAATAAGCAACGCCTTTCGGTCTCGGGATCTCAGCGGCTATTTCGGTTTATTGATGACCTGAGCACGGAAGCTTGTCATCTCTTGTGATGTTCTCAATCGGCTAAAATGGGGTTTTCGGTTCGCGTTTAATTGTCTTTGTTGTTGAATCATTTTTTCAACATTGGCCTGCTTTTTGTGATTGGGTAGATAAATCCGGCATAAAGTACCCACTGCGACTCGTCAATACGTACCCATAGGTACCTTTTAGAGCCCCAGCGTTGTAATTTCGATAGCGGACGGACATTTCAGCATTAGGGGAGACGGTCTTGTAATTTTAGGGTCGCTGTGACATCAATGGGTGAATGTGATAGTGTCACGCATGGACCTTGCTCCAGACGGCTTTCCCGGACATCTCAGAGGTAGAACGCTGGAGTCGTAATCAGGGGACCCTGATTCGAATTCCGCCAATTCCAATGAGAAAACTGACCGGAGGCTGCGCCCGCTACGCGAGCTGCGGTACGTGCCGTGACCTCTCGGAGCGCCTGGGGCCCTGCGCTGGCCAGATCTCACCGACCGAGTGCGGCGGGCAGCGAGCAGTGCCGGTCAGTCGCGGTCTGGTCTGCGGGCGCGCACGTGAGCCCCAGGAGCGAGGAGACCGGTCTGGCAGTGCGGGATGCGCAGCAGCGTCGGACAGCTGTGAAAATGGCCTGGAATGTGATCGCGTGTAGATTGCTGGCGTCACGTCGACCGTGCAGAAGTGAGCGAACGGCAGCCCTGGTATATGGACCCGGGCGGATGAGGCCCGAGCGCTGCTTCAGGGACGGTTTGTGGCTGCTGCGGTGTGGAGATTGGTAGCCTTGTTCACATTTGGCGCAGTGCTGGCTTACAAAGTCTGTATTCTGTGGAAGATTCAGAGGACATCGCGGAACACTCGAACCTGAAATGTCGTCGTGCACAACATCTCTGCCGTTATGCCCAACGTTAAGTGCCTAGTTGATATTTGTGGCTTAATGAACGGAGCGGAAACAACCGAAGCGTTTTATGGCGTTATACAACCTACATTTATCATCTTTCTGTTTTGCTTTTGATCTCTTGTGACGTCTGCTGCTGTCGAAAACGCTCACTGCACGTGGGCAGCACCGCCGTGAATCCGGATGACACGCTGCTCCGCAGGCCGTTACCTGCACGAACCGTCATCCAGAGTGGTAGGTGCTGTAGTGATACACGCGTTTGGTCGTGCTGTCAGTGATAAATAACCACTCACTACTTGGCGCGCCACGCCAACATATATGAGGTCACGGCTCGGTCATGATTGCACCCGCCCGAGTGGCGATCACGCCGGCCATTCCGGGACAGTTTCTCGCCCTCGGGCCCACGCACGTGCCCTCCAGTCAGCGGCCATCCGCCGGGACGGTCCGCCTCGGAGAAGCTCTTCCGGGGCCGCGGTCCTCCATAGCCCCGAAAGGTCAGAAAACGGTGACCTTTCGGTGAAGGGTGAAGGTGGAAGGTCACCGAACGGTGTGCGCCGGCTGACGTCAGTCGTGCGCACCGTAGCGTTGGCGGCCCACACACTTCGGCTGCGTGTAACGCTTTCCAGACTAAGCGTTTCAGTGTCGTGTTTGTTGTCATCATTCTTGACAGCTTTTGGCTATTAGAAAACAGCCGATGTAATAGAGTCGTCAATGAAGTTTTGGAGGAATGTTTGATCCACGCTAGACTCGTGCTCGATTTGGTTTTAGCGAGGTCAATTTCAAACACGACTCAAAGCGTAAAGACCTTATTTCGACTCGGCAATGCCTGAAAGAGCAGCCGAGTCGATTCCAAGCCGCCTCAAGCCTTTTTCGAGGGCTCAGTTCTTATCAGTCGCAGAGTCGTGCACTTGAGCGTGATCCAATGTAGTAAACCATGGAAAGCATGAAGGACGAGCCGGATGCCACCCCTATGCATATATGTTTTTGTGGATCTGCAAACTTACTACATTTTCAACTCAGTAACATTTTATATGGCTTAGCAAACATTACCTTTGAAAGGACGGAGTGGCGCTGAGAGAGCATCGCTCTGTGCGTCCTGCACAATGAAGCTGACTTCGTTTGGCAGCACAAAAATTACGGGTGGGGTCGGCACATCACAACTTTATGGTAATCGTAATGCTGATTATTTTGGCACAAACGTGTGTTTTGCAAGACTGCGCTTTGCTGTAATAGAATAAACGTGTCCTACGCGACGGAGTAGTTGCTGCTCTGTTTTGACCACACTCTAACGTTAGAGTGACTGCTTCGTTACTCAGTCGTGCCGCCATCCATCATGCAGCAGACCACTTTCATATCTAGGCTACATGTGATTCTGAAAACCCATCGTGATATCATCTATGCGACAAGTTTGCTTGGAGCGTAAATATGCCCCAAGACATTAGCCTTTTCATGACTTGACGTGAAGTCGTTACGTCCCCCCCCCCTTGCTGAGACCGGTCCCCGCCTCCTAGCACACGCGATGAGGCAGACCCTGGTGCGCCGTGCGTGAGGCGGGCGCCGCTGACTGCACGCGCGCCGCCTGCCAACGGAAACAAGGGGAACAAGACGGCTTGGCGTCGCCCTCATCCATCCTGTCCGTCCCCGTGATGAGCCTGGCGGGCTGCGCCGATCGCCGCTTGAGATAAGGAGACACCCGAGAGCTGCAGCGACTCGGCCAGGTGCAGACAGCGCTGAGTGAAGTGGAGTGAAGTCGGCAGGCGAGGCAGGCAGCGCCGAGTGAAGTGGAGTGAAGTCGGCAGGCGAGGCAGGCAGCGCTGAGTAAAGTGGAGTGAAGTCAGCGGGGGAGTTCGGGGGCGCGCCACTGACCGACAGTGGCGCCACTGACGGACAGCTGCAGCGCAGAAGCGCCAGGAGCTCTGATCCAGGCCGGCAGACGTCATGCCGTCAGCGTCACGGTGACATCCGTTCCGATAGACATCCTGTCGTCAGCGTCACGGTGGCCTCCGAGTCGGCGGCGTCCGGCCGTCTGCTCACCGCGTGACGGTAGGCAGCAGCCGGCGGCGCTCGGGGCTCGAAGGAATCGGACCTGGCGTCATCTGGGGGTACGGCAGAAGCCTTATTGGTAGGCAGCTGTCTGTTGTCGTGCGGCACCACCGCGGCTCGTGTGGGTGCGTGGTTTAGTTGTAGACATGGGTAGCGCGGAGGTCCGTGGTGCGAACGTCACGCAGCCCCCCTCCTCCAAATGGGTGTGACGAACGATGAAATACACGCGGGAATGGCATTACACCATCTCTCTTGAACCTTTCTGAGAACAATATCTCAACAGCCAGTTGGATTCCAAGGTCTTCTTTTTTTAAATGGTAACCAAGGGTGAATATCTGATCGAGTCAGGTGAAGGACAAGCTTCTATTGCCTCGCTTATCGCACGAGAACCAAGCCAACGGAGCAGTGTTTTTGAATGTTTTCGGAGTTTCTTCCCCTCCATGGTTTCTTCCCCTCCCGAATCCCTCTGGGATCCACTACCGGTGTTAATTAACTACACCGTTAGGTTTGCATGGGGCAGCGGAGGCGGTGGAGGTAAGATAGTTCAAGCATTTGAATGCCTTATGAACAAGTCCCAATTCGAAATACTGTCGCCTCAGTCAATGCGTTTTCTTTTTTTGAAACAAAGGACACCAACCGTGCTTCACAGCGAAAACCAGAATCACCTTACGTCGGCGGTCATTTACAATGACCGGTCCAATCGAAATGTCCAGGCTCTATTAGACACCACAGTTTCCGTAGAAATTAAATTCGGCGACGTCCCACAACAAATACAGCTCTAGAACTGGTTTAGCATGCAAAATCCTTTAAGTTCTATTTTGCGTGAACTACTACATGCGTAGTGTCAGTTTCGTTTTGTTTTTTCATATTGTCTTTCTCACACGTTTCACGTTGTCGGTGTGCTCACTCCCAGCTCAGTCTGGCTATCTGCCATGCTGCACTCTGCACAATGCGGCCAAGCACTTCCAACGTCGTACATTGGCTTCACACTGTTGACCTGTGGAGTCGAACGATAAACACGTGCGCGGCGAGCCGCGGAACTCAGGCGCTCCGCCGCCGTCCCCAGGCGTCGCGCAGACCCGCCGCGAACCGTGGAGGTCGTGTTCTCCGCTGGCCACACCCCTCAGGCAACCCGGCGAGACACTCCCAGCGCGAACGGCCTGTGGAAGCGTGCTTCGCGTCGTCCAGAATGGGCGGCGATCATTGTGGTCGGGGTGGGCGCACGAAGACTGCATTCGCGCAGCCCTCGGCTCGATTCACTGTTGCTTGACTGTAGTGGGGCGATGGTGGAAATGTGACGCCTAAGTCTGTATCTTTATCTCCGGAAGATAATGGTAAAGGCCCTGCAGTCGGCACGGGCCCAGCATGATAATTTCTGGTCTCCGCGTAGTGAGAGGGTCAAAGGAACGTTGGCTGCTCCGTGAGGACGAACAATAGAAACGAGAACTGTTCTCCATTTTTAGCATTGGAAGTTCACTTTGATGTCATCTTTTCTTGTCCTTCCCTTGTGATTCGATATCGTCCAGCGCTATTGTTCAGAATTCTGCCGGGTTCTCAATAAACGATTCATCATGTGACATAACAACAGCTGGCACTGTTCACGCGGCCCGCTATCTCGTGTCAGATGAATTGCACTTGAAAAATTGCCGCATCTGGTGTGACGAGCGTGACGCTGTCATAGCGTCTCCAGAGACAGAGTAACAAGGGGCGACACAGACGTTGACGAAGCGATCAAGTCTAATGACCATGTTTCACGCTTTCATATTTTGCGTTACCAGGGGCGGCGCTTAATAACTGACGGGCCAGAGAGACGGACATGCAAGCCCAATGGCAGTGTATGTGTCAAGAGATGGTTTGGTGTCGAATTCCCCGAGTCTGAGTGTCAGCTTGGAGATGTCTGCTAATTATTCAGATGAAGATAGAGGTGACAAGTT